TCGAACATCTGAAGGCGTAAATGTCTTTGCTGGTTAAATGCCAGCGCTCCGAGCAGGCAGTGCGTCAGCAGCTGTCACGGCGGCTTCCGGCGCCCCCGGCCAGGGCCCCTGCGCTCAGTTGGCCCTAGGTCGATGCAGACAGCAGAAGGAGCTTTTCATAGACACTCTCTCAAGGGGTCAGGTGTCTGTTCTGTTAGGATTCAGCATTTGGATGACTTTGACCCCCAAAGTGGCAATCTCCTGTGGTTCAACCCTGTCTTTGATAAACAGGGATTTGTAAAGGGTTATTTTTTTGGAAGGAAAACACAAGTGTCTCCATTTCCTGTTCATGGTAATGAGTCATCATTGTCCAGTATTTTGGGGCTTGTTTTTTTTTTCTTTAGGTTTTGTAACTGGTTATAGCCATTAAAACGCCCCCATGGTGTCCATGCCGGGATGTGACCCTGCGGAGCTGGGAGGGAAACCCGGGAGCCCTGAGGTCTGCCCTGCTGGGAGGAGGTGCGTCCTCCCCGGAAAAGCCAGGAAGGTGGGGGCGGGGGGGGCGGTAAAAAGGCCAAGGTGAGAGGAGAGAGAGGTGGGAAGGAAGAGAAGCAGAAAGAGAAGAGAGGAAAGGGGTGGGAGGGAAACCAACGAAAGGAAAAGACGGAAGGGAAAGGAGGGACGGGAATCGGTGGCACCAGACAGAAAGCGACCAAACAGAAAAATGAACAGGAATGAGCAGAGAAGAATCAGAAGCAGAGGTGGAAAGGGAGAGGTGTCAGAACGCCTGCTCACGGGTCATCCCCATGGGAACCCTGAGATACTGGCCGTCTCCTCCCTTGGAGTTCCCCGGCGGGGTTTACAGCGTGAAGGTTCGTCGACCCGCTCTCCCTGGAGCTCTGGCCGTGTGCAGGAGGAAGAAGAGCTCTGACGTCTTACAAAAGCCAAATATCCCCCAGTCATTGAGTTTCTTCCAAAAAGGAGCTGTTCAAAACGTGCAAAGTTCTTATTATGAGAATTGTACATCCCATTGGTTGGAATCTGACAGAATCCTTCGTGCCCCATCCCGGTGGCCAGGCGTGAGCCAGTGGGAGCGCAGAGTGGACAGGGTCCTGCAGTGCAGGAGAAAGCCCGCTCCCTGGGTGCCCAAGTGGGAGTGGTCTTCTCAGCGGAAATCAGTGGAACTCGGCGAGCTGTTTTCAAAGTTGGGGAATACAAGCAGGATTTAGACACTTATGCTCACGGATGGGTATTGTTAATGAGATGCTTGGGGCTGAATTTCTTTCTTTCTTTCACATTTTTAATTTTTGTGTGTTGCCCCTGGTAAACCAGAGAGCAGTTTCAACAGGGTCCCCGGCCCTGTGGCTGAGCTGGGATTGGCTGGTGTTCACAAGTCCTTTGTTTGGCCACGGGAACGCGGGTAGCAGAGTGCAGAAGAGGACCCAGGTCTGAGGTGCCTGAGGCATGCAGTTTGGAGCCTTCTTTAAGAAAAAGAAAACAATGTACGAAACAAAACCACGTGCCAGGAAGGAGGCGTTGGGAGGGGTGGTGCCAGCAGGCAGCCCCGCACTGAAGCCTCGGAGCTTCCAGGGAAATCTGCCACCCCAGGCACGTGCTGTCCTGTCCCGCCAGCCCCGGGGATGTTACAGCAGCAGGTCGCAGCCGGCTCCTCAAATTCCATGTGACTTGCCCAATGAACTTTGGCTCTAAGGAACTCAACCAACTACTGTTGGCAGCCTTTATTCCAGAAGGTTCTGGTGGGCGCCCCCGAGCTCTACGGCCAGGCCGGGCCTGAGCGGAGTGACCAGGGAGAAGGAAAAGGGCAAGCGACCAAGAGAGAGGGAGGGCGAAGGTGGAAACAGGAGGGCAGCCCCTGTCTCCCCTCAGCCGTGGGCCCCCTCCTGACCTTGACAGTCTCCTCCAGCTTTGACCTCTAACATGTTCCCTTGGGAGCCTTCGAGAGCCGGTCCCTACAGCAGGGCCAGTCCCTAAAACAGAATTGGTCAGTCGCTTTCGGTTAAAAAGTAGTAAAGGCTTTCTTGGAGCCCCCGGAGACAAGCCCGTCTGACCTACAATCTCATCGTTTCCGAGAGCAGGGTCGGGGGTGTGGACGGAGGTGTTAGGGTGACCAAGGGCCGCAGAAGGAAAGGCTGAGAGCAGGGCTCCGTCACCCAGGAAGGGGCCTGCCCTCCGCGGTGGTGTCTCAGCCCCAGGGTCCCCGGAGCGGGGCTGGCCTGCCGGGAAGCTGTTCCTGGCTGCAGGAAGCGGAGGCAGTCAGTCCAGCAGCTCCGTCAGTGAGAAGACTAAATGGTATTTTCACGAACGTTCTGTGCAAAGCACAGCCCATCCAAGGCCCTGGGGCTAGCTTTCAGAAGATGTTTAGTCAGGAAAGCCGCTCCGGCCCGCCTCTGCCCTGTCAAGCCTGAGCCAGTGTGCGGAACCACCGGCCGACAGACCAGGTGGGAGGGACAGCGAGTGAGCCCAGGGCCGGCCAGAGCTGCCTGCGGCCCCACAGCTGGGCTGCTTGGCGACCCCCAGTGCGAAGGGTCCCTTCCCCAAGCTGAGGTACCTCGAGAGCAGAGAAAGAGACTCAGGCGCCCTTTGGCAGGGAGTGCTGTGACAACACGATCTGGGGGTGACCGGGGAAATGTCTGCACTGAGTGACGGCTCAGGCCGCACAGCCCCTTCTGAGCACCTTTCACCTGTGGTTGCACAGCATCCGAGGACCCTCCGCCCACCCCGGCCTTTCCCGCCCTTTCCCCAGCTTCTCCGGGGCTGCCGTGAAACAATCATGGAAAAGCCAGGATCTTCCCTGAGGCTCGCTTTGCTCATAACACTCCATTAGGAGTTTAACCTTGGCTGGAACCAAGGTCGGTGAACTCCTAAAACCTGTACCTTGCTTAGAATGGCTCCTCCACCTTCTCACGGAGGCCTGGGAGCAAGGAAGGGGTGGCCCGCCCCTGTAGATTTAGAAAGAAGCCCATTCGGCTGAGAATGACACATGACCGGAGCAGATGAGGTAAAAGCTTAAGGAACTGCGCCCTGACCTCGGGGGAGCTCTCTCCCCAGACGGCTGCACTTGGCAGAACCTGGTTAAGCTTCCGTGCCTGGAGGTGGGTCAGGGAGCCGCTCGGGGGCGCCTCTGGGCAGCGGTGGGTCCCGCATCCATCACGGAGCTCTCAGTAACCCCGGAGCTCAGAGAAAGAGAGGGAGGGGTACGGAGACAAGCAACATTCACCAAGCACCTGCTGTGTGTCCGGTGTGCAGTGACAAGAGGTTTGCAGTCAAGCAGTCCCAGCCCCAAACCCGGATCCCTCCCCTCGCCTCGTCTGCAAGGTCTCGTCTGCAAGGTCTCGTCTGCAAGGTCTCGTCTGCACCTCAGGGTCTGCATGTGTAGAGAGGGAAACACGGTGTTACAAGAACTTTTGAAGACACGGAGCGGACGCTGGCTTACGCTGGAACGTGAAGTCCCGGAGTGTTCACCTAACGCCCACACCGACAGGAGAAACTCTGACAAGTCATTGCACAGGGTCAAGTGCGAGATCGTGAGTGAAGCCTCTTCCAGCTGTTCGGGAACTTGCCCGCAGCTCAAGGGAGGGGTTCACCGAGGGACCGGGAATCCGCATTCCTTCGGCCGATGAGAAAAGCGAAAGAAGTGACACGAGACAGAATGTGACTTTAAAACTCCTAGAAGAAAAGGGAATATCTGGTAAAAGGTCGGCATTCTCTTTCGCAGGTTAGCAAACACCACCTTCGCTCCATTAGTGGGTCTTGAACGGGAAGACAGTTGAGTGGGGGATTCTGGGGCTTTTACGGGCAGTCTGATCACACCGCAGGAGCTTCTCTGGCCTGTGCTCTGTCTGTCTGTCTGTCTGTCTTGGTAAAATGTACATAATGTAAAACATCATTTTAGCTCTTTTTCAGCGCACAGTTGCGCAGCATTAAGGTCATTCACACTAATATGCAGTCGCCACCACCGTTCATCCCCAGAACTCTTTTCCTCGTGCAGAACTGGAACGCGGGCCCCCCGGCGGCGTCCAGGCCTTTGGCGTCCCGGGGCCGCACTGGAAGCAGAAGCGTTGTCTCGGGCCGCACTTTAAACACATTGCGATGTGTAATCACAAAAAAAAAATCTCATCATGTTTTAAGTAAATTTATGAGTTTGTGCTGGGCCACACTCGCAGCCGTCCTGGGACCCATGTGGCCGCCAATAACTTCTGGTTACTGGTCCTCGTAGGCCCTGGCAATCAGCATTTTACCTTCCGTCTCTGTGGCGCTGATTACTCTAGGGACCTCACAGAGGTGACATCGTACGGCATTTGTCCTTGGCTTGTTTCGCTCGGCGTGACGTCCTCGAGGCTCCCCTGTGTCGTATAGCCTGTGTGAGGAAGCCCCCCCTTCTCACGGCTCGGGGGCGTCCCATTGTGCGTGAGCAATGCACGTGGTTTATTCACGCATCAGTCAGTGGGCACTCGGGTTCCTTCCACCTTCCGGCGATCGGGAGTAACGCTGCGATGAACTCGGGCCTTCAGGCCCCTGCACTCGTAACGACACAGTAAACACGGTTCTCGGCAAACAGGAAACAGCCACCTGCTAAGGTGGTGGAGCAGCCCGTGGCCCCGTCCGCGGGATTGTTTCAGTCGAGGTGACATCGGTTAATAGAATCATGTAGGTTTCCATCGGATCCATTGGCCGGGTTGTTTTGCAATAAGATCCTGTGTGTGAACCCGGGCTGGGGCCCCGTGGCCTGAGGCTGCATCTCACCCCTGGGCGCCCACGGGGGACTGTGAGCTTGAACGCCAGGTGTCGGGTTTTGCTGCATGCTGGGTGTCTGCAAATAAAGCTGGCTGCTGCGCATGCTCTCTGCCCCTGGCTAACTGAGGCATCACTAACGAGTTTCTTTCTCTCTCACATCCTGCCCACCCTCCCTGCCCCGGTGCCCCCCTTCCCCCCTCTCCCCGCCCACTCGGTGCCATCTCCTCGTCTGGGCTTCTCTCTGCCGGCTCCCTCCTGCGCTCCAGTGCGACCAAGACCAGTGCATTCAGAGCACCAAATTCGTTTTGCAGGCCGCGGCCACGCCCCTGCTGCAGAGCGAGCCCAGCCTCACCAGCGATGAGCTGCACCTGCCCGGGAAGCCGGGCCTGGGCACGCCCTGCGCCAGCCTGACGCTCGGGCAGCCCACGCCGCCCTCCTCCATGCCCAACCTGGCCGCCGAGGCCGGGCTCACAGACATACTGCCCCTGAAGGAGGAGCACGTGGGCCACCAGTTCCTGACCCCGGAGGAAGCACCCTCGCCGCCCCGGCTGCTGGCCGGCAGCCCCCTGGCGCACAGCCGCACCGTGCACGTCCTGGGCCTGGCCAGCCAGGACTCTCTGCATGAAGACTCGGTGCGCGGCCTGGTGAAACTCAGCTCCGTGTGACCGCGCAGCCCGGCGGCCGGGGACTGCAGGCCGCGGGAGCAGGTGGAGGGCGGCTGCCCGCAGCCACCCCCCCACGACCCAGTGCCACTCTGGCGGGGACGACTCCCGGTCCTGGTCCCAAGGACCAGGTGGAGGGTCCGTGGATCCGCTCCGACAGCAGAGGCGGCAGGACCCCAGTGCTTACAGCTCGGTGGTTTTGGCGTTTGCTTCCCAAACTGACGGCTTTGATAACAACGGCAATAGAGGGGTGGCTGTTGCCAGGCATTTGGGATATGAAAGGTGGGCGTGGGGACAGAGGAGCCCGGGCGTCTGCCGTCAGCGGCTGGGGGAAAGGACAGTGCTTGGATGTCACGCTGTCTGCTTGCTGCTCGTGTGACAGACACACGGAAGGCGAATGAGACTGGTGGCCAGACTGATACTGCACTTACATGTTATGCTACTAATATTTGAAATAGACATGCCATTCCATTTGTTAATTTAAAAAAAAATACCTAAAGGGAAAAAAAGCGACCAGATGTGGACTTGCATGCCACGCTGTTCTGTTTACAGTGGTGTTGGTATTCCAAAGGACGTGCTGCTTTCCTCTTTTCTTTCTTCTTAATTTTGTGAGTTTTCTCGCGCTGTTCAATGGGAAGACAGTGCAAGGAACCAGGGCTAACGGGCGGCGCCGTCGCGGGCCAGCCCGTCTGGCCCCGGCACCCCTGGGTGGGGGCTGCAGAGGGCTGCGGGGGCTCTGACCGGACCCAGAATCAGTTCACCTTCTGTTTAGAAGTCCCCCGAGGTCTTGTGTTGTGCCGCACCCGCCACAGTCTCCGCCTCCTGTGTGACCACACTTCCTGTGGGCAGCCAATAAAGTGACGTCCTCTGTTACTTGGGGTCTGTGTGCCGTTGTCCTTCCCAGCTTAAACGACAGCCAGGTCATCGGGGTGGCTGCAGAGGGTCTGTTCTCACTGAAGTGTCCCTAGCAAGGAGCAGTCCCCAAACCGCCAAAACTCAGACCGTTGAACTGTGGGTACGGATGGGGTGATTTCTTAGATAAGAGAGCTGCTTTTTTCATTATTTGTGTCATTTCCTTCATCACCTCTTTTTGACACAGTTTTAGTGGAATTTGTTCCACGTGCACCGATTGGCCTGAGGCAGGTCCTCTGTGCCGTGTAGGGGGAGCGGGTACCTGGGGACAAGGTGTGCCACGGGGCCACCTTCTCTGCCCTGCCTCGTGCTGACGTGGCACCAGTGGCTGTCGTGGCACCAGTGGCTGACGTGGCACCAGTGCTCGGAAGGGTGGCCTGCCATCCTGGTGAAGGCATGGAGAAGAGAGGAGAAACCAGTCTGGAGTCTGGGCTGAGATCACGTAGATCGTCATTCTCACCTAGACACTCGCCCGAGTGGAATTAAGAAAATTACCACTCCCCTCAGGCCCCTGTATCATCTGGAAAGGAACCGGCTGTGTACGTAGGGAGTGAAGTCGCCGTGGAGGCAGCTGCGGGGACTGTGGAGACCCCGTGCTCGCTTCCCTCCAGATGGTAAATGCAACAGCCACATCCACTCGGGCTGAAACTCCCGCGGCCCCTGCAGCCGTAGGGACGACAGGGTGCATCGACCAGTGACACAAGAAGCCCCAGATGATTGGCATTTATAGAAAAAAGCTGTTTCATCTGAGAAAGAGCTGCCATTTTTATATAAAAGAAAAAGGAGGAAAGGACCAAAAAAAGCGCAATTTCTAGTCTCATTTGGAATGAAACCAATTCTCCGCAAGTCAAAAAAGTAATTCGTGCTGGAAATAACCGCAGAATTCTAGGCCACAGCATCTCCGAACCATCTCTGCCCCATAGAGTATATCAGATAGAAAATGCGAAAGGTAAATTGTGTGTAGCTATTGTTCATTTTCTGGACCTCCTAACTACTTGTACACACTTGGAATTTAGAAACAGGAGGACAGCACCTCGCTGCCCTTAACAATCGCTGCCCTTAACAACCGCTCCCAGCCGTCAATGCCGGGGACTCCTCGCGCACGCACTGCCTGAGAGCAGAACGCGACGGCCCCACCACCTGCCTCCGCACTTCCCGTCCCTCTCTGCCCCTTCCATCCGCTCCCGAGAGCCAGGCTGCGAGCCAGCCCCAGTGCGGGGCGCGGACAGCCCACTCTCCCTCTGGGTCTGCGTGGCCCCGTTCAGCCCCAGCTTCTGTCCCTGCAGCACAGAGACGGCGGTCCTTGGGGTCTTCCCACTCCCAGCGTTCTCTCCTTCAGTGCTTGCTGATGTCCGATCACCAACCCCCCCTTCCCGCCTCCTTATGAAAAACCCAAGAAGCAGGAGCCATTACTCGTTTGTCTTTCGTTGATGAATATTTACATAATATTGATTATCCACCCCCCAGCCCAGCCTGCACCCCGTCCCCAGTACCCGCATCGTTTATCCAAGAGGGGATGGGGAAGTTCAGTGAGACGAATCAAGGAGATTCAGGATCCAAGAGGGAGATACTCACTCAATGAGCCCGTTTGCTGGGACACTTAACGTCTTAAAACCCCAAACCAGAGAGATACCCACAGCCCTGTGCTCTGGCTTGGACAAGAACAGAGGGTCACGGAATGAACAACTGTGCTCCCAGGGGCTCCCTCCTTGCACTTGGGGGTGGGGGGTGACCTCAGGACAGTGACGTGCCTGGGGAGGGGTCTGCACTTCCCACGAACTGGTCGATACATGTTTCAGCACTGAGCGGCTCCATCCAGCCGCGGCTGAGCAGATCTCAGTCCTGTCCGGCTGTCGCAGGTCGATTGCACGCTAGCTCTAAAGACATAAGATAAATATTTCACCGTGCTATTAAAGCTTGGACCATTATCAGACATCCACATCCACACTCATTTTCTTCTTTAAAAATTCATCTGCTGTTATTCTCCCAGGAGCCCTCCAGGGACGGCGGGCTTGGCGGGCGCGTGAAGGCTGAATTCAGCCTGAAAGCCCCGGTCCCCTGGGAAGGGCGGCGCGTGGAGCCCGTAGCCCGCCCCCCGAGAGGGCGCGCAGACGCGTCACCCTGCGCCTGGAGGACTGGCCCCGCGTGTGGGTGTGTGCCCGCCCCAGCTTTTAAATGGAGCCGTTTCAGCCCGTGAGAAGGACGGCGTGCACACCCTGCCTGTGCCAGCAGCATGCCGGATGCCTGAGCTGGCCCCAGAGACCAGGCAGAAGGAGGGCCTGGCAGGGCCCTGCCCAGCCCTCCGCGTGCACCGCCGTCTTCACCTGCCACGTTCAGGGTACCAACTGGGCTTCCAAACGAGAAGCGAGCCCCATTTTAGGAGCCACATTCCTGCTCCTGAGTGCATGGGGCTCCTCTCATGGCTTTGAAAGCCCCAGTCCTGAGCCTTCTCATCGGTTCAGCAGCAGGACAAACGGGTTCGCCAGGCTGGGCAGCAGGCCTCCTGGGCACGGGGGCTTGTGGCGGCACCTCCAGGGAAATTCTGGAACTGCTGGAGGCTTCCGAAGGGCCCAGCCTGACCAGTCAGTCCCTTTGCAGGTCTCAGAGCCACCCCACTCCGCACCCCAGTGAATGCGTCTCTCTGTGACTTGACTGTTGTCCCCTGCCACTCACCAACCATCCTCTCTGCCGGGAAGCCCGTGCTTACCCAGCCCAGCTCAGGCGTCTGGGTTAGCTAGAGGGATCGCACAAATCGTTTAGGGGATGTTTCCCGAGTCGGTTGCCGTTCACTCCTCCACTCGAGCGCACTGTGCGGCCCATTTGGTTCTGGATCGGGTAAGAGAAGAGAATAAAGGGACAAATGTTGGACACACTTTTCTGATTAATGCCTTACAACTGTTTCGAAGCTGAGCCTAGATCGAACGGATGTTTACATTTTGTATGAAGTACCTAGGCACTGTGGGAGTCTGGCATACTCTGGTCTAAGCGGGAGCGCCTTTCTAGTGAATTCTCATCCCCCCTGGTCCCCCGCACTGGCCCGGAGGTCTGGGTATGGCCTCGTGTGCTGTGTTCCACGAAGAAACGGCCCCTCCTTTGTTCCCTTGAGATGTCTTTCTCTGTCTTATATGAATAAGTCATCACTGAGATATTAAATAAGTGGAAGCGCCGTTTTCTTTCAAATAAATGTCAAAGATGTAACAGGTTGTTTTTGTAAATCAGCCAATCCTCCGTCGACTTGCCCGTCGCACACCATCCTGATAAGAGACAGCCAGGGTGGATTTTGAATACGAGTGTTCAGTGCCTGAATCCAGACATTAAAAATAATTGGGAGGTTGAAGATTAGGCCATTTCTGCAGCAACTGCGTTTGCAGCCGCCACAAGACTAGATAAATGGCCTCACCTGGAATTATTTCTTCAGTCTCACAAACCCAGAAATTATATACAGAATGGACTGGAAGGCAGACGATCATGTGCTTTGCAAAGACTTTTCTTCCATCAGTTGTCGACGTTTTAAAAGGTGTTAGGTATGGCTGGTGAAGATGTGAATGAACAAAGTCTGTTAATTGCCCTGGCTGTTTTAACACGGACGCCGAGAGGCGGTACGCCATCTCCAAGGAAACACGGTCTCTGGGTTCTATACGAATGGAGATGATTTTACCCTGCAACAGAAAAATAATAAATAATGTAATAAAGGTTGAAGTCTTGCTAACCGTTTGCTCAGGGCACTGGGGCATTCTGGGTCGTTATTTCACAAGAGTCCTACGTTGTCGCATAAGTGAAAAATAAATCATTTTAAACTGCAAGCACAGTGTACTCAAAGCCCACGGTCTGAGCAGTGGTGAACATCACGCATGACATTGCATGTGTTCGGAGGTCATTGTGGTCACCCAAGTGCTTTTCATCTTTTAATCAACATTTGCACAATTGACCTTGAACCCGAAATAAATTAAGGCATTTTTCTCCTTCAGTAAACACCACTAATGGCCTCAAATATAAACAAGTATTTATAAGACAGATATTGTCACCCTGGCCTGTGTGGCCCAGTGGATTGAACACAGGCTGCAAACCAAAGGGTCACCAGTTCAATTCCCAGTCAGGGCACATGCCTGGGCTGTGGGCCAGGTCCCCAGTGGGGGACGTGCAAGAGGCAACCACACAGTGATGTTTCTCTCCTGCTCTTTCTCCCTCCCTTCCCCTCTCTCTAAATAGAAGTGAATAAAATCTTTAAAAACAGAAGAGAGATATTGTCAAGGTCAACAGGTGTAGGAAAGGGTGCAACTTTATTGCGCTCCAGAATCAACTTGTACGCAGTAGATTTGCACTGTGTAGACATCCCTCTGGATAAAACACGGTTTGCCAATCACAAACATCCATGCTGGTTTCCTGCAGGTGTGAGTCTGAACTTCTTCAATTCATGAATGACCACAGAGTATACAGACCCTCAACCCGCAATACACTTGTTCTTCTTCTCCTCTGTCTTGCTACCTTCACTACCTACCCCGGAATGTAGGTAAGAATGTTGGCCAAGAGGTCCCCTCTCGGATCTTTTCCAATTCCCAGGTTCCAGGTGTAAGGCTCGGACCCACACCAAAGCCTCCGTCGTCTGGCCCCGGCCTCCTGTGCCTCCCGCCTGCCTCACCCTCGGCCCACCTCACCCCTCCCCTTGCTTGCAGGGCCGTGTGCCCCTCCCCCTGAGTCCTTCCCAGTCTTCACGACCTTGCCCAAGGACCAGCGCCTCCACGAGATCTCCGACAGCCTGAGGGCCCACCTTCCTCAGAACTCCTACAGTCCTTGGTCCACCGTGTATTTCCTCAAGTTGAGATGTACTCCACACATCATACACTCAAAAACGTACGATTCCGTGGTTTTCAGTGTACTCAGCTCTGCCACCATCGCCGCTAACCAGCTCCGTCCCACTCCCTCGCATGTTGGACAGTCTTCACGGACTACCTGTTGTTTCT